CGGGAGCGGAGCCGGGAGGAACGTTAAGGCGGGGGCGGGGCCTGTTTGGACGTGACGCCCGGGGCGGGGCCTGTGTGGACGCAGCGCCGGGGCCGGGGCCGGCGCCGCCCGTTCCTGCCGTTCTTAGAAGACCGAAATGTTCTTAGAAGACCGAAATGCATTAAGTGGGCCCAGGACACAGAAATTCAGATCTAGATTTAGGTCGCTACTATTACAATAGAGTTTGAAAATTCATCTCCATAATCTTCAAATGTGAATGAAGAAAATAACGAGCCCAGCAGTCTCATTTCCTTTGGCTAGAAAAAATGGAAAGGGCATTAATATTAAAATACACTAATTCAGAATTAAATCAAATGGAATCGATACTCATGTAAAGCAGACGTGCACTACAGGACCTGTGGAATAAGCTGAGCTTGTTTTGCCTTGTGAACCAACACAGTGAGGGCAGGGGCTGTGCAGTGAACACATCAGGGTAGATGAACGCTGCCAGGGAGAGGGACTTCTGAGCTGAAGGACAAAGTTGAGAGACAACAGAACGCATACAAACTACCTGTGGCTCGTTAGAAAGTAGAAAAATTTTCCTGGCTGTGCTGTTGTACTGCACACTACTACTGCAGCAAGCCAAGATGGATCCTGGGGAGCCTTGCGGGGGGACTGCAAGTCACAGAACTGACAGTCAGAGCAGCGGCACCCGTCTGCGGTGAAGTGTTGCTCTAGCAGCTGCTTCTCTGGAGACTTCCTCGTGCCCAGAACGTCATTACTGAAACGACCCACGAAGTGTCTGGGCAGGAACAGGCTGTAGTCAATGTCATACCACGCAGGCACAAGGGACATCCCTTCACCCACTGGCAGGCACTCCGTCAAGAGTTGGTGAGTCTCACCGGTTACCTGGATACTGTCTGCTCAGTCTTTCCTGCTCCTAATCCTCATCACTGCCACTATCTTCACCTACAGCTCTGACAACTGTGCACAGATTAATGACTGAAACTATATAGAAAATGAATCCACTTGTAAGCCTTTCAGTTGGCCCCTTGAACTCACAGTTGAAACTCATTTGTGGAACAAGTGCGGTGTCAGAGCTATAAAAGGTGCTCTGTACCCCAGAATTTCCACAGATTCATCACACCCCACCTGCTGAGAAGGGCTCTTTGCTTTACTAGACTTTTCCATTTAAAATACCATCAGTGTGCTAGCTGGCCATCAACGCTGCAGAAATTCTGCAAACTGTACTTGCCCCTAGATGTCTGTCAGCAGCTCCTGCTGCGATGGGAGAGCAGCAGCGTGGCTGGCTCAGAAAGGTTCCGCAGATTCTCCCCCTGCCCAGTGAAGAGCAGTAAGGCTACTGCTGTGCAGCTACCCAGCTATCAGGCTGGGAGATTCATTATACTCTTCTAAAAATCTGTAATAAAATTAGCAATCTACTTCAGGCAGGATGTTGCTTACTGGACTGGGATCAGTAAGGGTATAGGAAAGCTGCTGTGTAGGCTCCAAGCCTGAACTTGTGCTGATGTACCCAGGAGTGCTTTGCTGAGGGATGAAGATTTGGTGCAGTGAGACCAGCACCCAGAGCTGATACAGCTCGGAGGGGTAAGCCTAGGTGACAGCATCTATTATGTCTGGTTTTGCCATCTCCTGTGCATGCATGCACCCAACCAAGAGATCATTTTTATGACAATAACAAGAACTCTGACACCAGATTTTGAGCCCAGAACTCTCTGGGTGTTTCTCTGGGATAGCTGCAAGGCATCTCCACCTGCAAGACAACAGAAAGGATGGGGCAACGCACAAGGCGTCCCAGACTATCCGTGCTACGGTCGAGAGAGGGCAAGCCTTGTATGGGTCTGTCCCTGGGACGTGACAGCACTCCAGCCCACCCTCAGGTAGAAATTACCCCAGCATGCTGGTGGCCAGAATCAGGCTGCAGCTGTTCTGGTTACTCTTGAGGCACGTCCATTTTGTCCAGTCTTTTAACCATTGAAGAGGGCTTTGGTGAGTAAAGAATTGGGCTGTGCTACAGACTGTGCATCTCTCAGGGGCAGCAGGACCAGTACTTGTGGCTTCTGTGAAAGGAGCTATGACCGTGGGTTAGAAGGTTTCTGTGTTGTCTCTGCAGCCCGTTTGGATGGCAGCAGTTAGTTTTCCATTGTTTGGGAGATACTGTCTGAACATAGTCAAAGCCCCGATGACTGGCCATGTGCCATCTGCTCATGTTGAGGGGGGCTGAGTCTCTGAACAGGGCAGAAAATTACATTCCAAAGCCCCGTTCCTGCTTGGACAGAGGAGCATCCCACAGCCTGTGCCACACTGACAAGAGGCCATTGTGCAGTGTCTGCTCATGTGCCTGGCCACCAAGTGACAGCCATCAACAAGCTGCTTTGCACAACAAAAAAAATCCTTTGAAAACCATTCACAGAAGCCTGGAGCAGGACTGAGACTAGAGATATAATGATTTCAGTGTGTACAACAGATGGAGACTTTATAGCAGGGAGCCACTAATCTATGGATTACAGACTTCCTAATTATAGCCCAACACTTCCCATTTCGGAGAGGCACTGCCAGCCAAGGATCAGTGCTCAACAACCAAGCGCCATGTTAGGGATAACTAGGGAAGGAACAGAGATTGGAAAATGGAACTGTACCAACCTCTTGCTCATCTGGCTCTCAGAAGGCTGCGCGGAGGTCTGCTCTGCTGCAGGTCCTGAGGAGAGGCTGGCGGTGCTGGGAAAGGTCTGGCAGGCGAGCGCTGGGGCATGGCCCACGAGCCGTCAGTCAGTCAGTCACATGCTTCTCAGCATAAACCGCGGAGCCTGTAAAGTCAGATCTTCAGCACCTCCAAACACAAACCTCAACATTAACCATAATACTAATCCCAGCATGGTTTTATCTCACTGAATCCCGGCCTCAGAGCAGGTGAAAACTCATTATTCCTGCTACTTTGTGCATAATTCTGTCCCAGACAGTTGTACAACAAATCATACACTGAGATCCACAGATCCCATAAAAATGGACCCTGATATTACTCTAGCACTGCACTTAACTGTATCTTTGAACCCTGGGACACAAGAACTAAAGCAATCAGCAACCAAGCAGGTGACCCCATCGGCATGGACCAAACAAGAGTCATCTATAAACTGAACTCATCAACTCTTTTAGTTTATCCCTAACCCTAAAACCAATCCTAATCTAAGCTGCCGGCCTGTCCCCGTGACGTTTGTTATTTCCAGATTTAGCCACGTAACAATGGCTGGGAGAGAAAACATCTTCAGCATAGATGGAGCTGGAGGCCCCACCTAGAACCAGCAGTACTTTAGTGCAGGGTCCTAACCGAGACACAGTCACCCACCCTCCTTCCCATCATACCCAAATTAACAAAAACTCATTTGTTTACTTCTGGCCTTATCCTACACCGGTCTATCCAGGGAAAGGCAGAAATTACCTGATCTCCACAGACATCACTAAACTGGATACTGCCTGAATTCCTCAACTGCCTCAGACGCAGGAAAAAGGCAGGAGCAGGAAATTCAAGCTCTTCAACTTTATACTCAAGGTGCACTGTCTCTACTCATGCCTTGGGGACATTCCTTACCCACAGCAGTAAATGTAAGGCACTTGCAGAGATGAGTAACAAACCCCTGGGATCTGGCAAGACACAGTTGCCAAATAGGTTTTCAGTGCCTCCAGTCAAAAATGCTGACTTTAACAATAAGCCTGACTTAATTGCCCATATGAGTTCCAGACTGCTGGGAATCTCGTGCCCCTACAGCAGCAATCGCCTGTAGCAAACCTGCGTGGAGTCCCAGGAGGTGACAGAATGATTCGTAAATACCAGCTCAACTGACAAATGCCACCACGTTTCCTACGGGTGGGCTTCCCACAGGCAGCTGCCTGCCTCTGTTATCCAATAGCTCCGTGAGCGTCTTCACCAAATAATCCTAACTTGGACCATACCCATGAAATATGGAAAATTTAAATTGGACCTGCACAGAATTATAAATTCTGTTACATAGACCATATGTATGATTTATCTAGATGGGAACATGAACAGCAAGCCAAAAGAAAGCTACAATTTCAAACTGTGTATATGACTATTATGTTACACCTTAAAGTTCACGGATTAAAATTCACATAGGTATCAATTCCAAAAATGCTTTAGGTGAAAGCCTTAGGCCCTTCAGGCTTATAATTCACTGTACATTAATATACATTCTCCTTGATATTTGAGAAAAGCAAATAAAAAAGAACATGGTGTATTTGAAGAAAGTCATCATGAACTAGGATAAGTATTTAAATACTAAAATAGATATACTACAGCATTTACCTGGCTGTATGAAATGGGTTTTTGAGGCCTGATACCTAATCTGTTGAAGGGAAAGCCAAACATCATGAGATCAGGATCTTTAAGATTACAGCATCTGAGGCATGTGTGCTACTGAATAAATGGGTGAAGAGAGCTAACGCTGTCGCTACCAGAAGAAGTTTTGGCAAGCTAGGTTAAAAGCCGAGACTTAGTAAGTGAATCTTACTCAGCTCACAAGACAGAGTTTGTTCTGCGGATAAAGTGTCCAAAGCTCTCCTGCCAAGCCTGAACTAAAAACCAAGCAAATATGCACATTCATTAGATTCTGACCCTCAGAGGACTCAGGGAGACTGAATACTTATAAAACACGGTAACTTGCAGAAAGAATCTGGACAGTGTAAAAGAAAACGCATAGCTTCATCTGGTTTCTGTTAGAGTCCTAAGGCAGAGTTGCTGAGTTACTGCATTCTCGTCTGATGTCCTACGTGAAATGGTGCTGCTGAGCCCAGAGGCAGAGCTGACCGCTCTCCACTTGGCCCCTCACCACCGCTGCAGCAACGGCCACAAACAGCCTCGCAGACCCCCAGAAGGGGCTTGTTCCTCCCGGGCACTCCTCGCTCCCCGGGGCTCCTTCAGCTGTGGCTGGGGCAGCTGAACCCACCCTCGGGCACCGACTCTTCCAGTGCCAGAAAACGGGAGACTGAGGAGGGGAAGACACGAACAGTGAGCAAAGGAAAATCTTCAGCACAAACTCAAGCGGGGCATAACTGGGCTGGCACAAACCCTTACCAACAGCCCCTGCTGGAATGTTTCCCAGAACAAGAACCCGGTGATTAACCTGTCCCTGGGCAGGTCTGCAGCTGAACACCCAACGCCAGCCGCGTCCTTCGCGGGCAGAGCGGGGCCCAGCAAGAGCGTGATTAAACCAGCAGCAACAGCTTAGATGAGTGTTGTTGCTCCTGACTTACAGAGCTGGCACAGAGATAACGGCCCAGCCTAAGAGTCCAGAGAAGGTGGGTAGAAAACTGGCAGGGAAGTAATTCCTGCTGGAACCCTGTGGTGCCGCCCCTGAGGCGGGAGGTGAAGGCCTGGATGGGAAGTGTCTGTGTCTACCATTTCAGTATTTGAGTGCGAACAGTGTGGCAGGAAAGCTGTGATTTTACAAATGTAGACCAATAATGGAACAGGAAAAATACACTCTATACCTTCTATACTCATTATTTTAAAATATGACCATGGACCTAAAGAAATCTTGAGCTACTCATAAAAATCAGACCAAAAATATTTTGATTAAAATTATAGCAGAAGATTGACTGCCAGAACTATGAAAGGCAAAACTTGCCCATGCTTGGCTTTTGCAATTGTAAAATGACTGAAATGCTGGGAAAGTGACATTAGTCTGGGAACTGGAGTAAAGTCACTATAAAAATTGCTCTGGAATTGGGTTCTTAACAACTGTCTAAATATATAAGTCAATTCGTATCATAAAGAAATGTGACATGGTGAGTATTAAGAGCAGTTAAGAAAAGCCTTCTGCCTTCAGAAGAAACAAACCCCCAGTTAAAGTCAGCAGCCTCACCGAGGAGCGGGACAGAGGTGTCGGGGCAGCGGTTCGCGGCGCTCCGCCTGCTCCGGCAGCGCCTCAGCTCCGCTCTGCTCCCATCAGCCAGCAGCGGCGGAGGGAGCTCATCCCCACTGTAGACATTCGCTTCCTTCCTGCACTCAGGCACACAGGGATGATCTAAGGGCTCTAGAATGCCTCTGGGCTGCAGGTGGGGCTGGTACCCCCCCAGAAGCCATCTGCTGCCGGCAGAGCTGCGTGCGCAGGGGCCGTGCAACCCTTGCAGGAACTGCTGCTCTGCAATGCTTCGACTCGGTATCCAGCAACTACACCCAAAACTGGCCGGGGCCTCCTGTCAGTGCTTCCCGGAGGGGTGATGCTTCTCTGCACTGTTAAAGACGCAGCAGAAACTCTCGGTGTGCTTCCCTGCCATGTGCTTGGGTCAGGCTCTACGCACAGGTCAGCGTCTTCTTGGCTGAGCTACACATCTGTTCGTTGGTGGCTGCTGACTCCCAGATGCTTTCAAGGTCCTGGGCAGACTATTTCCTTGATGAACAAACTGTGATATAAATGCAGTAAGGCTCATATAATAGTGGCTCATTAATTTTTATTTCTCTGTAATAGACCTAATTAGGTTATGTGCATTCAGAGACTTGAATGGAAAAGCTTCTGGAACTGGAAGTCTTTTGTCTGTACATCGTTTGTATGTTTTCAGCCATCCCAGTAGTACAGTAACATTAACCTGACAGAAAACAATCTCGCAAAACAAGATTATTACTCTGCTTTGCATGATCCAGGGAAACATAATGAGCTTCGCTTCCTGGAGACAGATAAAGGAGGTCTGAAAGCACTGCCTTTCCCCCTCCGTGGGGAATTCACTGCCCTTCCAGAAACTTCACTGGCAAAACACATTTTTCAACAGCAGTTTCCAAGTTAGGGATCTGAACTCCTGTCCAAGCATGAAGAGAATACAACTGAATGTTATTTAGACTTAATGGAGAGTGTACACTGAGAAAGGAGAAGGGCAAATGGCAGATCTGGAAGCGCACAGCACACAGGAAGATCAATCCATCTTCTTTAGGTAACTAAAAAAGATTTTTGTGAATGAAACCCAAGAAAATTCTACACCATCATTCTGACAAGTAGCACTGGCTGTGATTACCTCTTAGGACCTGAGTTTGCAAGCTGTGATACTATCTTTAACTTAAAAACATGGCAACACTCTAAACTATGTAAATAGCATTAATCATCGATGTAGGACGTGTGAAACTTTTTCAGGAAGAGGACCACAGTATCTTGTAATTCTCTCAGTCAGCATGCTTTAGGGCTTTCCGTGCCGTGTTCGCAACAGTGGGTTTCCTCAGCAGCAGTACACCCCGCTGACACTACTCTGTCCCCAGCGCTCGCTTCTCCTGGTTCTGCTGTAGCTGCCCTTGTTGTTAAAGCTCTGCAGAGAAAATCTCCTTTCCTCACTATTGTGGAAAGTGCTTTGCCATACTCAAAGGAAAAACACTAATGAGTTAGAAACTGTTACTGTGCAAGTCTAAGTTAATAAATTGCAGCTTCAAACAAAAGAAAGCACAGAAAAGGTACAAGCTCCTTAACAGGGGAAGGCACACATATTACATGTTTATAAGACAAGCCAGAGAAAAGCAGTGGGCAGCTATGTGAGCTGGAGTTCAGGTGCTCCTGAGCTATTATGGGTTCCAGAAGGGATGCTCAGGAAGCACTCCATGTAAATCTCTTCACCCAGAACCACCACACACTCTCAAACAAGACTGTTGGTTTTGGACAGAGTTAGAAAGCATTGGTGTTACACTTCCCTCTAACTTCAGAGAATGAAGAAGATGAGGATGGCAATATCCACCAAGTATTGTAATAAAAAGACAACAACCTACAGCAGTTTAGATTCCTTTGTATATGAAACAGGGAACTTTTAAAGTGTCCAGTTCCCCAAAGAGCCTTCTTTAAGCCCCAGGTGAACCAGCCAGTACCACTGCAGTTTCTTAACTGATAGGGGCTGTGAAAAGAACTCAGGCATTCCAGCTTGGTAGGAAAGACAAGGCTCTGTTTTTACATTCTTAGTACAGGAACTTCCAGAGGTCACTCTGGTATCTGTTACTTGGATTTTTATCAGCTAACCTAGGCCCTGAATGAAGGATTTGTATACCCTAATGATGGACGGTCACTTAGTCTAAACCTGCAAGAACATACCTTGGATATTGTACATAAAACTGTATGACCACCTGCAGATATTTGTGTGTGACACACACAGGTCCTCACTGCCATATCACAGTTAACACATCAGAAATTGTGGAGAGGTAAATGGCAAACACAGTGAAGCAGAAGGGCCACACTGTGAAAGCAACCTGCCATGCTCTTACCCATTTTTTACCAAGAGAAATATGTAGTAACAGGGCAAAAATAGGGAAAAGGGAAAGGATTTTAGCTTCATAGACTGAGTGGTTCATTTGGCAGTTACGGGTCTGAAATTCTTAAAATACTGTCTGTATGTTTTATGGGATGTGTGAAAGCTGTGTTGCAGTTAAGGCATTAGCACATCTGGGGTACAGATTGATTTCACACTCAGACATTCAAAGTTTATCATGAACAGATATAACATTCATACGCTTTGCTGGGGAAATGACTAATACGCTGTCTTTTACAATTTTCCAGTCCAAAACACCTCAGTGTTTTGAAAGTTCACAGCCACTGACATTCATAACTCGCCTGTGCTCTATAAAGGTCCCTCATCAAAGTGCTGCAGTTTGGACCTGAGGTTACAGCCTCTCCAGCAAGAAAGCGTCTGGCTCTTTATCTGTTCATTGGTGTCTCTCTCTCTTTGGTCTTTGTTTTTTCACACTCAGTATAATTCACAGAGCAGTGACACTCAGCCCAATGGTATTTTGTGGCGCCTGACTCCGCCGTGGACAGGAGCGATCCTGCAGCGCAATGAGTCAGTTGGGTTCGTCCCGCTGCAGCCTGCCCGGGGTATGGCACTCAGAGCCATCGGGCGGGAAGGAAAAGCAGCAGAGATGAAAGAACCAAGCCAGAAGTTAGGAAAAGCCCCTTCAGCCTGAGCAAATGAAGGTATGACCATGCATTATAAAGACAAAACACCGATATTGATTTGGTGTCTGTGCAACACAGTAATCCCATAAAGCCAGATAATCCCTACCCCCTCTAAACTAGACTTCCAAACTGGTTAGAGATTAGGGAGCAGGTTTTTATTGTCTCACCCTTTCAGCTGGCACTGATGCATGGGTTGGGGGTGGAAAGGAGCGTCCTCCTCCTCAACATTTTGCACTCTCTTTTGCAGAGGAAAACGCAGACCCAGGCCCGAGACGTAACGGCATCCTGAAGTGAGCAGGACGTACCTGTGGCTTCCACTTCCAGCCTCTGACATGGGGTCACAAATTTCACCTGGGATGTGCAGCCACTTAGGGCAGTTTGATACTGAAGCGCCTGTTGCCATCAGAGAAAGAAAAGAGCAACACATCAAGCAGACAAAAAGCAAAACTTAAAGCATTTGGGGGAAGATTATATTGTCTCCTTTTTTGGCCTGCTAAAGCAAAAGTTACTAAGAACTTTAACCCTTGCTTCTAGGAGCATAACCCTGCCTGCACGCCCCCTTGTCTGGAGCTCCCCTCGCTCCCAGCCCCATGGCCTGGACCCTCAGCCGCTGTGCACATCATCACTGTCTGCTTAGAGGAGGATTTCCCTGGGAAACAGGGATCCACCGGGTGGTCTGGAACTGGCACAACTTGCTCTTCTCCCCCAGCCTCTGGGCACATCATGGGCCTGACACTGGCCTTGCTGTGGCAGGACTTACTCCAGGCTAAGTGCCCTTTTCAGGTGACTTCCAGGTGCACTCGATGCAGCTGAGCTTGGTTCAGCCTTCTGACAGTCTTGGGCTTCACGTCAGCACCTGAAAATTAGTTTAGGGAACAACAGTTCCAAGACCGCTTGTAAAGGAGTGAAGGGCAGGATGTGTTTGAGTGACAAATTTTGGTAATAGAGACTTTTTCTACTATTCCCTGAAAAGGAGATCCCACAAGCTGTGCATGTTTTTTCCCTAGGACATAGCTAGCAAGCAAACATAGACAGATATTATCTATTTTTATCTATTTTAACATCTGTGTTGAAGGGGTAGACCTTAATGGTAGGATGATTTGGCAGTGGTTTCAAAGGGAAATTTGGTGGGATAGTGAATACAGACTGAACACAATTACTAATATAATTAGATAAGCTGGAGGTGTGGTGTGCTGGCACTGGATCTGCTGAAAAACTCTTGTCTTTACTGCCCTGCTGTCTCTGCTCTTTAGACCCAGGGGAACTTGCCCATTTTTTTTTGCCCAGCAATGCATGGTATAAACATCAAGGTGTTCCCTGAAGTGCCTTGAGCTCATTAATTTCTCTCTGTCTGTTCCCACTGTGTCTCAGAGCCTTAGCTGCTGCGCTGTGCTTGGCTGATGGAGTCACAGAATCACAGAACGAATCACAGAACCACAAACCGGTTTGGGTTGGGAGGGGCCTTAAAGCCCATCCAGTGCCACCCCCTGCCCCGGGCAGGGCCACCTTCCTCCAGCCCAGGTTGCCCAAAGCCCCATCCAACCCGGCCTTGAACCCTTCCAGGGAGGGGGCAGCCACAGCTGCTCTGGGCAGCCAGGTGGGGTCTCACAGGAGCAGAGCAGAGGGGGAGAATCACCTTCCTGCTACAGACCACGGCTAACCATGACTAATGGTGGCTGACCCGAGGACTGAGCACAGCACTGGCGACTCACCAACTCCACGGCAGCGACCTCGGGAGCCCTGTGCCAGGGCTGGGGAGCGGCAGCAGAGCAGGAGCTGTGCACCAGGGCAAGGCCACACTGGAAAGGTTTGTCTGTGTTGCTGTCGCTGACTCCAGTCTGTACTGGTGGCACTTACGTCTCCTGAAACTTTGCAGCTGTCAGATGACCTATGCTAATTAAATGAATACAGATTATTTTATAATGTGTTTTGGCCATTACTGACCTGGTTAGAATTATATAAGTATATTAAAGCTGAAAGCAAATGTAGCTTCTTATCAATTCTCAGAACTGTCTGCTTGCCTGAAAAAACCTGCTTCAGTAAACCTCTAAAGGACTCCAGCTGATTAGGTGACATGTCTGATATTTGAGTAGCTAACAAGGATCTTCACATTTGGGCCTTTTTTTCTGTTCTCTTTGATGCCTAAAACTTCAAAAGTTATAGCTTAAATAAAATCTACCAAACTTATCTTTCCACTGAGATACCTCTCTCCTGCCGTGTCTTCCTCCAACACACAGAGACTGCAGCCAGGATTTAGGTTCATCCTCTGGCCAACAAGGATAAATCTCTCTCTTCTGATTCCTCCCCCCACCCCTGCTTTCAAGCAGATGGAGTACAGGACCGTAGCAGTTAGCACATGGCTCCCTGGTGTAGCTTGGAAAGAAACAGAAATCCTTGTGGACTTTCTTCTGGACGAGCAGTGTTCCGGCCTCTGTAGCTCTGTCCCTGCTCAGCATCCATCACCTCAGCGCATTACGTTCTCCAGCTGAGCGGCTGTGACAGGACGGAGCCCTCATCTCTGCCTGCCCGGCCTCATCCCCTGCACGCCGAGTGTTGCTGCCCGGGTGCCCCCCACATGGCCACGCTGCCTGCGGTCCGGTCCTTCCCTGGTGACACGAGCTCCCTGCAGCTCGGGAGGGAGGAGTCGTGGCAGCGCCCGGGAGCCCGTCACTCTGCTTGTCGGTGGCTGGGGCTCACTCGCTGATCGCAGCGCAGCGAGCTGCCTCCCGCGCATTGCTGGCCACCCACTGATCTCTCCAGTACAGTCTATCCTGGTAAATTCGTGACTCACCAGGGAAAAGCTGAGTCCTAAAGCAGTGCTCAAGCCAACTCTCCCTTCTCCTAGGCAGTAAGGCTTTGCTTGGCTCTTGCTAGTGATGCTGAGCCAGGACTGCTGCTAGACAGCAAGGAGTGGACTCGACTCTCTCAGCACAGTAAGGATCCCGATACCGAGTTAGCACAGTCTAGCTTTACACATCACTAGATGACAGCTGTTTCCCAGTTACTTTTCGTCTGAATAAGTGAAAATTAAGAAGTTGTCCTGGCCATGGCAAGCACAGTTTTAGTGGCTGCAAGACATTAGTTTAGAGAACAGCATTTTCCTCCAAAGTGATAGCAAATGTATAACAGGCAAGCAGGCTGCAATCCTTCAGTCACAGCCCAGTTCCTGCAGTATTTACATGGCAAAGATGCTTATGTCATGGGTTACACCAGAGGTAAGAGGGCCATGACAAAACATGCACACATAGAGCCCTGCCTGCTTCACTAGCCTGTCCATTCACTGCTGGCTTCCTCACAGTCACAAGAAACCCTACAAACAAAAAAACAAGCAACCAAAACCACAGTTCCTTTAAATCCACTATAATTCTACTCTGTTGACATATAATTACTGATTATAGGCATGTAACCACTGACATGTAATCACTAATTACCTCTAGATACACCACCTGGTTTTGCTATAGATCTTCAGCGTACTCTCCTGAAGCTGTGGGCAGGGAAGTTGGAAGCAATACTGCTTCAGGTCTGCAGTGGTTGATTAGGTCAAGTGCAACACCATGGAAACAAGGAAATCTCAGCCTAGCCCTCAAAGTCCTGTTCGGGAATAAAAGCAGGCACAGAGAGGAGTAGCTGGCGATCCCTGGGACAGGCTGGAATGAGAGGGAATCACAATACAATCGTCGTGTCAAAGAGCAGGGTAAGCAGAACCTGGTCACAGTCTGTAAGTGCCAATATGGGGGTGCAGATACTTGATGCAGGAGGCCCCTGAAGCTCATGGATGGATGTGTATGAGGGGTCTATTGCTGGAACCTGAAGTCAAGCACATTTAGAGTAGATATGGGATGCCCATTTTTAACAGCAAGGGTAGGATTCTGATTTAGGCCCTTACTGTGCCTCTCACATACTCCCCAGCAATAAAAGTGTAGATCAGATGGTTTTCTGAAAGATATACAGAGGTGAGATGGAGAAACCCTTGACATGCAGAGTAGCCTGGAGGATCACAGAGGTCTGTTCTGACCTTCTAACCTACTATGTCCAACAGTTCAGAAACTGGCCTTCCCTGGTCGATGCAGACAGCAGTCACAGAATCACAGAATCATCTCGGTTGGAAAAGACCTTGAAGATCATCGAGTCCAACCATTAACCTCACACTGATCAACCATCTCTGACCTCTGCCTCTCAAGGCGGGTATGACAAGCAGATTTGCCTGTCAAGTTTGGCTCTTTCACTCTTTTTTTTCTGTTTGTCCTTAACCTGACTTTCCCTGAGGCACATGAAATGCAGTGCTGGAGGCTGTCCTGACATTGCTGCAAGAATGAATCAGCAAAACAATCCTGTTTATCTGGCAGTCTCCTAAAACAGGACACCCCAGTAAATCAGGACTGCAGACTAAGAGAAGGCAGCTCTAACTTTGCATGAAACAAGGTAATTATGACTAATTTAATTGTTGCTACTTATCATGCATGTAATAAAGGATGCAGTTTTATCAAACCCTGTAGGAAGCAGATGGGATGAAGTCACTATTGTATCGTATGCAGAGGGGGGTGCTTCCTGTTAGCAATTTACTAGCTCATGCTCTGACACGTGGTACTTATTTCTGTTTACCAATAGATGTCCATGAAAATCACCTGACTAAAGAACTCCAGATATTCACCACTGATCCTGAAATTATCCACTGCTTGATAAAATCCAGCTGTAGTACTTAGCACTGTGATTCTGCTTCACTAACAGGCTAGAACAAAAGTGAGGGCTAGTGGATTTCACCTTGTTAGTGAGACAAGGGAAACACAACAAGATCTCAACCTCCTGGTCTATGGAACAACCTCCAGTGGCACAGGCAACATTATGTGAACAGGAAGCCCCAATGTGGGACACAATTCACACTTTTTAAAATCCTTTTCTATTTTTATCATAGACAGAATGATGTTACACAGAGCATCTGTGCCGGGACCTGGCACAGAAGTTTGCCAACAGAGGATGCAGAAGTTTTCCGATTAAAAAATTGCCTGCCAGCCTGACAAACAGAAAATAAGCTAGCAAAATCATCAGAAAACACCCAGCAAAGAACAACAGTGCCTTGGCAGCAGCAGGCAAGATGACCTAATATGACTTCTCTGGCAATACCTTTGCTGTTTGAATGATTCAGTTGGCAATTTCAATTCCCGTTCAAACATTTAGAAGATAACAGTAAGCGGGCAGCCTCGTGGGGAAAATGCTTCTGAAAGTTATACCACACGTGGTGCTTCTCACTGGTTACTCAGTGGGTTGGGCAGTCGTGGCTGTAGCCCACGATTCCCCTGTGTAGGTATTAACGGCAAACCCAGCTGGTGATCTGGCAGCAGATGATGAGAACAACAGAGGAAACCAACACAGGGCTGAGTGTCCGCAGTAAGAAAACACCCATCCCAGACAGGGTGATTATGTCCCATCTTATTAAGTAATCCTTTTACAGAAAGGGATTTGCCTAAAGACAGTTTCCAAGAAGGCTTCCCCAGTGCCCCCATTCATAACTAGTGCAGTGCACCCTGTAACGTGACCGATTTCCATTTCTGAGTGCTGCTTAATAAAAGCAGTTCTTACTCAACTAGAAAGACACAGTCGAGTCAGACATAAATTAGAAGCTTCCCACTACAAAATGTAATTTCCCATAAAATAAATACTGCTGCCTAATCAGAATACTAGCCTGTTTCTTTCTTCTTCTGGCAGGCTGGGCCCAGCTCCTGACCCCCAAGGGACAGGCGTCTCGCTCTGGGGTCAGGATGCCAACGCAGCCCTCGAGCCGAGGAAAGGCACCGCAGGGCTGACGCCTTGGTTCTGGCGGGTCCTGCGGCAGAACCCACGTACACAAGCTCAGACGCCCGCCAGCAGAACCTCCTGGGGCACAGCCGTTCTGTGGGAACCCCTCCCTGATCTCTATCTCTCATCTACTCCACACAGACAAGTGAGATGAGATCTGGCTTGCCAGCAGGATTTGAAGATGCACCACTCATGACTGTTTGCCTCAAAAGCATTTTTGTCAACCAGCATATAAACATGTGATTCAAAGAAAATAAGATGTGCTTAATTACAGGGGACAGACATTTTGTCATTGTATAATTAAAAGCTTCAAATCTGATCTGAGACATACGTATACAGAAATACAAATAATGCATTTTGCTGGGCTCAAAAGCAAGGCTATTGCAGCGAACACACAATGAACCCAAACGTCAGTTTTCATGGTATTCTTGAACTAGAGGCCTTACAACACCCAGCAAAAAGAATCTTAAAACTGAACAGCAACTTGAGAAATAAAATAAAGAATTACCTTTTGTACAGTGAATAACTTCCATTAAAGGCCAGATCTTCAAGCCTTCACTGCTTAGGAGAGCCCCCGTACTCTTTTACTGGTGCAGATTAACTTCAGTGCAACCTTTTATGCAGCAAGGCACTAGGAAAGATAAACATCAGAATCAGGATTTGAATAAATATTGCTATTAAAGTACAATGCTGAAACTTCTGCACATTTGCAGAACCAGACAAAGGCCAGGCCCTGTTCCAAGGAATTTTAATTCCCCATAAAGCTACACAACCATATGGAGAGGTCCCAACCAAAACAAGGGGTTCGCTTGAACGTCACCATGGTCAGTGCACAAAGCCACTGGGCAGTCTGCAGCCCAGGAGCATGCTTTATAGCCCAGCAAAGGCTCACTTCCTCACGTGCTATTACTTGGCAACCGGTAGGCAGGGGCTCTGCTCGCTGTCTGAACTATTCTGGCCACCGGTTCTGAGATCAGCAGGTGTGTAAATTTTCCCCCTTGTTAGGGGCAGAGGGTGGCTGAGATGGTTTTCAGCTTCTGCTCAGTGGATCCTGCTTACAGAGGAGGAGGATAAATTCATTCAGGCTCAGGGAGCCCCTCAGGAAGGGGAAGTCCTGGTGGGCTGCCACTCTGTGTGCATCCGTCTGGATGGTGCTGGTGGTCTCGCTGCTAAGCACCCAGCTACGGAGGGAGAGCGTTTGCCAGGGGAGCTGTAGAAATCCACAAAACTCACTCATTCTGGCTATTTGGAGGGACATTTCCTTCCTTAGCTGCCAGGCACTGCTGAAAGGCGGCAGCAAAGGCTGCAGGGCTCTGCCCCCGGCGCCACCCCAGTCAGGCGAGCAGTGGGGCTCTGGCGCAGGCACGAAGCCCTTGGTGGTAAATGCTGTGAACCACAAAGCCAGGGCAGCTGCTTATTAAAGTTATGCAAGATTGAGAGAATAACCAAATGTAACCCTCTCCGGTGTTGCCTTTGAGAAAGTAAGGGTAGACACTGACCGGTGTTTTACTCTGCTGAGTAAACACAGTGTGGTTCAGGTAACTCACCCAAGTTCGCTGACACACGGTGTTCATATTCAGTGGATCCTCTCTT